TTCCCTTTAAAGATCTTCATGGAACCAGAGGGCCTCATTAGACTACCCTTTTATTATGGCTGATGAGTGATTTTCATACAGGTGTTTAAAGTTAATTAAAATAGACCCCAAATTTACACATACAGGGGGAGGAGAGGAGAACAATGAGCGAGAGCAACTGGAGCCACTGTTGTTGCAACTTCCTTTCCAAATAAAAGCAGAAGCGTTGGGAATGCAGAATCAGCCTCTTGACTCCTTGTCTTGAGAGGCCTGTTGGGGGCCCTGTCCATTCCTCATCCCAAAAGCCAAGCTGAGTCTGGGATGAGGACAAGGGACTTCCTTGGGACCCAAGCTATCCCCCATCCCTTCCCATCCCCCACGCTCCAAGCAGGAAGCCACTCTGCACATTGTGTGCATGCTACCCTGACTCCAGGGCAGCTGCCACGGGGGACAAGAACAGACCCCTAGACACCTTCCAGCTTCTGCTTAATCTCTTTAATGCTGTTAATGGCAAGTCTGGAAAAGGTTCAGGACAAAGTTCTTTTTTCTTTCTTTTTTAATTACAAAACTAACAGCTGTTAGAATCTTTTTTTTTTTTCCTTTTTTCTTTTCCTGGCTACAAAATACTCTGGGGAGATGCATTATAATTTAAAATATATAATATTGCACAAACAACCAAAAGATTAATTAAACTAAAGAAATAATCACAAAGAGAAAAGCCCCATCACATCAAAAAGATTCAGCATTCTTTCCATCCCACCCCCTCATCGAAGGTTTGAAGTGGAAGTGACAACCACTCTCTTGGCATCCCTGACCACGATCCCATTAAATCATTGGTAAATACACCAGACTATGTACAAGAATCACCAGAGCAGCATCGTGAAGCACCAGGGTCTCCAGGGATTCCTGCAGCCCCTCATTCCCCCAAGAGAGGTGCAGCTTTACCAGAGTGGAGGGTGAGAGCCACAAAGATTGGTTCTGTCTTCAGGAAGAAGGGCTTTGCAGAAGCCTGATAAGAGTCACAGGAAGTTAACCCCAGCATATCCCTTAAAGAAGCAGAAGGGCTGAGGTGGAGAAATTGGGCTTACCAGAGTTGTAAGTACTAGGCTTTGATCACTGCTCCGTACCACTGGGAGCTGGCTTGTGTCCTAAGCTCCAGGGTAGTCGAGGTGGGTAGCTGGCTGGGAGGTACCCTGCCAGGCAATGCACAGAAGGGCCTGAAGTGGCCCCTCTCTTCTTGGGGAGAAGAAGAAAAGCAAGAGCAGAGTCTTGCAGGTGGCACAACTGGGCTAAGGACTTGGGTGCATCTGACATGAAGAAGCCCTGGGAAAGTCATTGGGGACATACCAGCCTGGACTGGATGAAAGGAGGTGGGAACTCAGGGTTTGGTCACTAGATTCTGAACCACAAAGAACCTTTCCAGGAATGGAAAATGCCTGGGAAGGGGAGATTTGCCAAGAGAGGCAAATTTCCCAGAATCAAATGTCTCTTACCCACTGGGATAGGAATCAAACTGTTTGCCATCTCTGCCTAGCCAAGGGCAGGTGGCATAGCCTTCCCTGCCTGCTCATGGGTGGACAGTGTGTTGACTCGGCTTCCTCCAAGACACTGGTGGGTTTAGCTTCTGTCCACACAGGCAGAAGGGATGGAACTATCCCTTGGGATTCCCCAGCAAGAGTCCCCAGGAACAGTGGGTACTTAGCAAAGAAATGTAGGCTCTTCTGGTGAGGGGTAGGTTTCCTCCCCCTTAGGTCATCCTATGGTTGGCACGAGTCAGAGTTCTTGGTTTGGATTTTGTGAGCCCCTTCCCAGATGTGAGCAGAAGCCCCAAGGGCCAGCAAGGAGTAACCCAGAATCTGGGCCCAGAGCTCTGGTTGACAGAGGCCATTTGGGGAACATTCTTGGTCAGTGTCTTCCAGGGCCGGGCTGAGACGAGCGAGGGAAGTGGGAGGTGCTGTGGGAGGGGGAGCTGATTGCACTGGCTCCCCTCATTCCCAGTCCTCCCACTCTACATCTTCCAGCTGCAAAAGGGAGGGAATAATGGAGAGCACAAACATACATTTACTCCTCTGAGTCAAGCCCAGACCCACGCTCCTCTTGCTGCCTCCATTTCCAGATAGCCATCCCCCAAACCCCACCATCTCCCTGGGCCATACCCTGCCCCCGTATGAGCATATACCACTAGTCCTAAGGAACATGTCTGGGGAGCAGAGCTGCCCTCTGCCTCAGGGGTGACTTTGCTGCTCGGACTATTCTAGACCCAAAGGAAATGCTTCCACCAACCAACACTAGACTCTATAAGGGGACGTCCTTTAAGGAACCAAGTCAGTCAGTCCCTTAAGAAAAACTCGTCTCCTGCTGAGCAAAAAAGAACATGAGTCTGAGAGGCAGAGAACTTAAGAGTGGTACTCTAGTTAGAAGCTAGCATGGTCCTGGACTACAGGAGCTCACAGGGACTTCACTAGGGACTCCAGCACCCTAGTCCCCGGCTGAAGGCTCCTCAGGCAACCTTCCCATGACCTGCTGTTAGCTGATCCCTGGAATGACAGGTTATGGAATGACTCTGCTCAGGTATACTATATGTCAGGTTTTAAAAGAGGGCTGCAAAGACACAAAAGCTCCCATGGCATGACAGGGCACCAAGGGCCTGCTCTGCCTTGGGTATAGTGAGGTCACAGGTGCAATATGCTTTTGCATAGGTCACTACCTGCCCTCAGGCTTCGGTTTCTTAATATGAAAAACGAGGCCCTTACTGTGCCTCTTCAATAGGTTTGTGAGCTACATGATAAAAGAAATTATGTGGTTCTTGTGTGACAGTGGAAGTAACACTGACTTGAACCAGATGTCTGGGCTGTAACCTCAGTCCTTTCACTTGGCTGTGAGAGCTTTTTTCCCAGCCTTTCATTCAAAATGACCCATTCTCAATTTTGAGGTAGTAACTCACAACTGGACTGGGTCTTGTGCACTGGTACAGTAACATGTACTAGTGCTCCCATGTCCCACAAGCTATACCTAATGTGTACATGCGTTGTCTATCACAGCTTATATGTTAATAATGATCTATTCCACGTTTTAGATGAGAAAACAGAAGCTCGGGTTAAGTGATTAGCTCTAGATCACACTGTCTTTTGTTTTTAAGGTTAGGAATCTGCTCAGGTCCCACCAGGGGACCGTGAGTCAGAAGATTTAGGGCAGGGTTTGGTGTCTGTACTTTTTAGAAGTTCCTCAGGTGATTTTGACACAGAGCTAGTGTCAAGATCTCTCCCATCCATCCACCCTGAACTGAGGCAAAGCAGAACCTACTGATGACAACTGCTCAGGGCCTGAGTGGGAGGTCCGAGCTCTCTTTCCCACAGCCTGCTACCTCAGACAGGCACAGGGATCAACCCTGAGAGGACAGTTGGGCTTCGTGGGGAGAGTCCTCAGACCCTGGGATTGCTGGGCTTGCTTCCATAGCCAACCAGGTCCACTTACCTCCCCGGAGGCATCCACTTTGGAAAGTGCCATCTGCACTTCTTCTTCAGTCATGTCCAAGTCAAAGTCCTTTTCCCAGTCCTCGCTGATGTCGGTGCTTGAGCCTGGAACCATGATCCACAGTGTGAAAGGCAGGAAGGGGTATTTGAAGGTCGTAGCTGGAGGTGATGGCACTCTTTAAAAGGGTCTGACAGATACACACCAACTTTGCATTCTACTGTCACTGTGGCTCACTTCTCACTTTTAAGAATGTAAGGAAAAATCCTGGATTCAAAAATTTAGCCCAAAGGATGTTATTGTAGTGCTGCTATAGTGATGAAAACTTAAAACTACTTGAAAGGCCACTGATAGGGAATTATAAAAATAATGTAAAACATTTACATACATGACAAATAATATTAAACTATTAAATGAGAAAAACACTTTGGTCCAGAGGTTCCCTGGGAGCCACAGAAATCCTCCAGAAGAAATTAACAATGAATTTCTTCCTCTTTATTCACTCCATTATACCTACACTGATCTTGCTACTCCTGAAACACACCAGGCACATTCCCACTTTAGGGTCTTTGCATAGGCAAAGATATCTGTGGATATCTCTTCCTCGGATATCCACAGGCCAACTTTCTGGCTTCCGTCATACCTTGGCTCAAATCTCACCATCTAAATGTGGCTTACCCTAACCGGCCTTTTAAACTGCAACCCATCCTTCTCACTCTGCTCTAGTTGTTTTTTATTCCTACTGTTTTATCACTTTCTAGCCTATTTCATCATCAGATTTAATATGTTTAGTGTCTAAGAACAGAGGAGCTAGAATGAAAGCTCCCCAAGGGCAGATGAGATTTTCGTTTTGATTTTTTTATATATTCCAAATGACCAGAACACATAGCTTGTACTCAGTAAATATTCATGGACCCTTTCTCTAAACCAAGATTTCACAAACTATGGCCCGTGGACCAAATCCACCCTACCACCTGTTTTTGGAAATAAAATTGTGGCACACAGCCATGGCCATTTGTGTACATATTATCTATGGCTGCTTTCAGGCTACAATAGCAGAGCTGAGTATTTGGGACAGACTGTATTTCCCCCCCTACAAAGTCTAAAATATTTGTGATCTGACTTTATAAAGTTTACTCATCCCTGTTCTAGGTGATTCTGATGCCTACTGAAGTTCGACAACCACTGCTCTAAACATTTATATTTGGGTATGACTTCTTATAGGCAATATTAAAGAATGTAAATGTGAAATTATTACTAATAAGAAAACACAAAAATAGCTCCTGTAAAAAAAAAAGTATATGTAGTATAATTCCGTTTAAAAAATATGTTCATAGATGCATGCACACAGACAGAAAAGATGAGCAAGATACCCACAAAAATACTAACAATAGTTATCACTAGGTGATGAGGACTTGGGATAATTTTCTCTTTTTTTCAAAAATGAACACATTACT